TCTACAAACACCGGGTGAGATCCTCCTTTGTCAATATAATGGATCAATGCATGAAATCTGACTCTGTTTATTTTGTTTAAGGAGTATATTGGGCGTTAACAATTCTGGTTTGCCTTTTATAATATTATTTCATTCAAGAACCCCTTGTGCGTTTAATGAACACAGCTATTTTTGATAGTTGCTACAGCAGTGAGCAGGAGAGGTGGGGAGAGGCGGGGCTATCGTTATTTTTTCAGGAAATATTCGTATCGAGGTGATTACACGGACTCGGTTGACCCCCCAGAGCGTTTCGTTTGCAAATCTATCCACCTTGGGACCTGTTATTGTTTGTGGGGTCAGTTTCTATCGGCCTCGTGTAAATAATAGGACTATACGCACGCGAAACTATGCAGATACAAGCAGTTTTCTCCTCGTGTAAACGGCGCCTAAGTATTGCTGCTGCTGCCAGAGTTGCAACGAGAAACATCAACAACTCTGATTGACCACTTGTTAGGTGATAGCAGTCCGTTCATATCAGGTGATGGTTGAGAGTGCGGGTGTTTACTTACAATGGTCGTTGAAAGCAATCAAAAATGAGGCGGGGTTGGCTGGAAATGTCTGCATTCAGTACTTAAGAAGGGTACATCTTTGCAAGAAACAACACTTCCACTGAGACACAGCAAAGGAGATGTTGGAAAGGAACCCCTTGGAAAAAGGTAAAATCATGATGGAAGATGCCTTTACTGTAGGAAACTGAAAGTCTTTGATATTGGCCCAACTTGAGGATTGGTTTGCAATTGAATTCAGCAAGTGCTTCCTGTTGGGGCGGTGGAAGAGGACAAATGCTGCAGACTATAACTAAACATGTCATTGAAATCACATTCAGATTACCCTAAAGCAAAACACTAATGTTTTTTTTTCTTCATAAGTGCTTCTCTTTGGGGTTGTCTTGGTTGTGAGGAATTCAACAGAAATATTGTTTCTCAAATGCTCACAATTTCTTGCATCTATTTGTATCTGATTCCATCACATACAATATAATTTCAGTCTTCAGAGTTCAGATTTGGTCATTATGATAACCTTTACAAAAACACTAACTTTGTTCCAATTGTAGTAAGTGCTTTTGTTGGGGTAGTTTTGCTGACCCAGCATCATCCAGCGTGTTATCTATATGTTCATATGCAATGTTTCATTTTACGTTTTTTTTAAGACAAAAAGAAAAGTCAGAGAAGATGGTGGAAAACCCCACGTGGAAACTCAGAAGCCATGAAGAGGTGCAAGTCTTTGATATTGAACCAACGTGAGCATTGGTCTGAGTCTGAATTCAATAAGTGCTTCTCGTTGGGGCGGTTGAACATGACAAATGCTACAGACTGTAAAGGAAGTATTATATGTCATTGAAATCACATTCAGATTACCCTAAAGCAAGACACTAATGATTTTGGTCTTCATAAGTGCTTCTCTTTGGGGTTGTCTTGGTTGTGAGGAATTCAACAGAAATATTGTTTCTCAAATGCTCACAATTTGTTCAATATATTTGTATCTGATTCCATCACATACTATATCATTTATGTCTTCAGAGTTCAGATTTGGTCCTTATTATTACCTTTACAAAAACACTAACTTTGTTTACATTGCAGTAAGTGCTTTTGTTGGGGTCGTTTTGCTGACCCTGCATCATCCAATGTGTTATCTATATGTTCATATGCACACTTTATTTTTACGTCATATATTAGAAGACAAAAATAAAAGTCAGAGAAGATGGTGGAAAACCCCACGTGGAAACTCATAAGCCATGAAGAGTTGCAAGTCTTTGATATTGAACCAACTTGAGCATTGGTCTGAGTCTGAATTCAATAAGTGCTTCTCGTTGGGGCGGTTGAACATGACAAATGCTACAGACTGTAAAGGAAGAATTATATGTCATTGAAATCTCATTCAGATTACCCTAAAGCAAGACACTAATGATTTGGTCTTCATAAGTGCTTCTCTTTGGGGTTGTCTTGGTTGTGAGGAATTCAACAGAAATATTGTTTCTCAAAAGCTCACCATTTATTGCATGTATTTTACCATGGCGGCCGCTGAGAAGCGCATCCCGGAGCTCCTCTACCTGATGGCCAGCAAGCCGACCTCAATCACCCAGTACCTTCTCTATGGCTATCTCACCCTTCATTGGAGCCTCCTGTATGGCCACCGTCCGGGCGTGTACGCAAACATGACCAACACTGAGGTCTTAGAGGCGGACAAAAGGGGAACTGCTGAAGGCTACATCATCCATGTGCAGGATCACAAGACGGCCAAGACATTTGGCGAAGCACAGCTGGCGCTTACAGTAAAGGAGTTTAGCTGGGTCATGCGGTGGATGGGGATTAAAGAGGCATTGCTGGGTCCTCAGAATGAATTCTTCCTTTTCACAACAGGGATTTTGGCCTCCAAGAACCTGAACGCTCACTTGAAGAGGGCATGGGCTGATGCTGGGCTAGAAACAGCCGTCACCTTCACAATCCTGCGCACTGCCCTGGCTGACAATATCAAGCATGTGTCACGACATAACCACGGCTGACCGGTTCTACGCGAATGCGCCTGGAATAAAGGAGGCATTGAAAATCCGCTCCATGTTCAGGGCGTCATCGGTTGCGGCAGCAGCTGCATCAGCATCAGAAGGATGTCTACCGCCGTCAGATGGGGATACCTCCGAAGAGGGCTCCGGGGCTGAGAGCAGCAGACAAGACCCCAACGATACCTCTTCTTCAGCCTGATGGGTCATTGGAGCGGGAGCAGCAGTGGAAGCGGAAGCAGCAGTGGAAGCGGAAGCGGGAGGGAAAGAGGCCAATGAAGTCGGGACCGGGGCCGGTTGACACTCCTGAGGAGGGGGCAGGGGCCGTGGACTCAACCTGTTTGCCCTGGTGCACCGTACGAATTAGACCCCTAATATGGTCCCCGGGCCCCCGCTAAACATTGGGAATATTTATACCGTGTATACTGTTTTTGTTATGCATACTGTGTATACTGTGTATACTGTTTTTGTTAAAATAAAACATTGTTATAATTAAATAAATATTAAATATAACCTTGAAGGTTCCCAGGGGCAGATAAAGTGCCACTTTCCATCACTTTTTTTGTGATGAGCGCTCAAGTGTTGGCGGAGGAGGTATAAGCCAGAGGAGGGTGAAAAAAAGTTAAAGTGTTTGAACCTCCAGCCCAGAAGGGGGGTGGTGGTGCCAATAAGAAGGCCGAATTTGGATGCTGAGGGGCGGGCAGCATTAAGGTTACCAGGGGCATGAGAATACCCTCCACAGAAGGGGTGGTGGTGCCATGAAGAAGGACGAATATGGATGCTGATGGGCGGACATAAAAGCACCACAAAATCCACCCCCCTTTTAGGGTCACCAGGGGCACAAGGTTCTGGTGGGTGTGAATACCTGGGTTTAGTCCGTGGGGGGAGTGCTTAACTGCGGGGGCCCGGGGACTCACGGTGTGCAAGGTTATGAAGGTGCCACTGTTAGGGAGAGATGCTGGAGGTCATTAGTCCGTCCTTTGGGGGTCTTGGAGGGGCCACAGAGAGGTGATTTCCCCGGTCTCTGTCCTGGATGTGTGAAATAAACAGAGTGCCACTGTTAGGGACTCATGCTGGAGGTGTTTAGTCCGTCCTTTGGGGGTCTGTGAGCCGGCAAAGAGAGGGGATTTACCCGTTGTCTCTCCTGGAAGTGTGAAATAACCAGAGTCCCCATTTCAGGGACACATGCTGGAGTTCTGTAGTCCGTCCTTTGGGGTTCTGTGAGGGGCTACAGAGAGGTGATTTTCCCGGGCTGCACAGCCTGCTCTCTGGGTACACTCTGCCTCTATTTACACCACTTTCCCCCGCCTTTCAAACACTTATTCCTGCCTTAAAAATTGAAATGTCGCACTTTCACACACATGTGTGTCACTTCGGCACACATGTGTCTTCGCGTCAAGCTCACCAGACTCACTCGGGATTCAATCAATGCTGGAGGTGTTTAGTCCGTCCTTTGGTGGTCTGTGAGCCGCCAAATAGAGGTGATTTTCCCGGTCTCTGTCCAGGAGGTCTGAAATAAACTAGGTGCGACTGTTATGGAGAGATGCTGGAGGTGTTTAGTCCGTCCTTTGGTGGTCTGTGAGCCGCCAAAGAGAGGTGATTTTCCCGGTCTCTGTCCTGGAGGTCTGAAATACACTGATGCACTATTCCCCGCCTTACAAACCCTTTTCCTGAGTTGAAAAGTGCTGTGATGCCGGCTTATTTTAGGTGCACTCTGGGGCAGAGATAAGGGTAAAATTAGGTCTGTCACTTTGGGTAACCGCACCACTAATGTACATCTCCCGAGAGTGGACGTCGATTATTCGTAAGGCCTCTAATACAAGAAAGGTCCCTGGCTCAAAACCGGGCAGAAACAATCTTCTTTGATCCTGATCAATTTCAAAGAACTCAACCAAGAATAGTTATCGGGAATCTAGATGGAGTAAAAAGCACTTTCAGAAATATGGCAGTTGAATGTTGAGTCTTTTCAAGACAATTGTTGGATGAGCAAGAAAATTGTTTGTTGAGCATGGCTTTTGAATTGTAAGGCTTTGGCTCTCCTTGTATTCAAATCGAAGAGGCATGTCGTCCTGTGAACAACTGAATGTTGTTAATAGCAGTTATGCTGAGGGTACTTCAATTCTGCAACCAAGGACTTTCTTTTCGTTCCTGCTCATAGTTTGTCCGGTCAAAATGGAAAATATAAAGGGATTTCTTTCCTTGCTTGATTTTGTCTGTCAAAAGAGCAATCGTTGAGCGCATTGCCGTGGTCCTTGATTGTAGTTCTCCTTCAATGATTTGAAGCATGCACTTGGTAGCTTTGTCATGGATGTTATAATGATGACCTTACGAAAGTTCAGTTGCCATGGTTCAGGTACGTGCTTATCCGAAAGTGTTTCCAAGGGCCTCTTGGTGGCATCCTCGTTCATGAGTTGATTGATGCTTGCCTCCTTTGGTGAATAAAGGCAGGCTGTTATTGAAAATTCTCCCCGTCGGGGAATTCGAACCCCGGTCTTCTGCGTGACAAGCAGAGATACTGTCCACTATACTAACGAGGAATGCTCTAGCAGTAATCCTAGCACGTCAATCCTAGCACGTCAACCCTAGGTGGCGCTTTTCGAGGGGTTACAGGTCATATCCAGGATAGCATTTGGGTTCAGTATACAGTTGCTGTCACGAAAATCAATGACGCTGCAGCTGTGACTGGATCCAGTGTAAAATCTCTCCAAGTCTCAGAAATCAACATGTGGTCCGTCGTTTTGAAGGTTTACAATGAAATATATACGTTGCATCTACGCGCAAACGTGTGCTTAGCTTTTCAGCAGTTTCTGTAGTGTAGTGGTCATCACGTTCGCCTGACACGCGAAAGGTCCCCGGCTCAAAACCGGGCAGAAACACTCTTCTTTGATCCTGATCAACTTCAAAGAACTCAACCAAGAAAAGTTATCGGGAGTCAAGATAGAGTAAAAAGCACTTTCAGAAATATGGCAGTTGAATGTTGAGTCTTTTCAAGACAATTGTTGGATGAGCAAGACAATTGTTTGTTGAGCATGGCTTTTGAATTGTAAGGCTTTGGCTCTCCGTGTATTCAAATTGAAGAGGCATCTCGTCCTGTGAACAACTGAAGGTTGTTAATAGCAGTTATGCTTAGGGTACTTTAATTCTGCAACCAAGGACTTTCTTTTCGTTCCTGCTCATAGTTTGTCCGGTCAAAATGGAAAATATAAAGGGATTTCTTTCCTTGCTTGATTTTGTCTGTCAAAAGTGCAATCGTTGAGCGCATTGCCGTGGTCCTTGATTTTAGTTCTCCTTCAATGATTTGAAGCATGCACTTGGTAGCTTTGTCATGGATGTTATAATGATGACCTTACGAAAGTTCAGTTGCCATGGTTCAGGTAGGCGCTTATCCGAAAGTGTTTCCAAGGGCCTCTTGGTGGCATCCTCGTTCATGAGTTGATCGATGCTTGCCTCCTTTGGTGAATAAAGACCTGCTGTTAATGAAAATTCTCCCCGTCGGGGAATCAAACCCCGGTCTTCTGCGTGACAAGCAGAGACACTGTCCACTATACTAACGAGGAATGCTCTAGCAGCTAACCCTACCTTAGTAGTGCTGCATATGTACAGACATGTACATGGGACATGAAAACAGTGCATCTCATATTGACAAAAAAAAACCTTACTAACCGAGTTTTCCAAATCACAAATAAGCCGTTGTGATACACGTGTAGACAACGTCTGCAGAATCATAAATGATCATTACAATGGGGTCATTAAACCATTATTTCGCTAAGATAAAAAACATTAAAGTTTTGGATTTTAGTGTAATTCACAAATGTTCCACCAGATGGTGCCACACACACCCAGGGGGAAAAGATAAAATATTAATCCAGGAATAAGTGTGCAAAATATGTGTACATTAGTGTTTAAAGTCGGGGGAACTGTTTTAATTCAGGACCAGGGTAAAAATATAACAGATTTACCCAGGAATAAGTGTGCAAAACATGTGGACATTAGTGTTTAAAGTTGGGGGGAACTGTTTTAATTCAGGACCAGGGTGAAAAGATAACACATTTACCCAGGAATAAGTGTCTGAATCATGGGTCCATTAGTGGTCAGAGTCGTGGGAAATGTTTTAATTCAACAGGAGAGGGTAATTCACTTCTTAACCAGTGAGCAGGGCTGCAAACATGGCTACATGAGTGTTAAAATACTGTCAAACTGTTTTAATTCAGTCATAATATTCGTTTTTAGACGGTGTACATTGGACTCAATAAATATACGGAGTTATGGACATAAACGTGTCAGTATAGACGGGAAAATGTACATATTAATCATATTTAATTTGTTAAATGTACAAGAAGCTAAAAACAGCAGAATCACTGCTTTAACCTGTTAAGCCCGAGAGACCCCGGTACCGGGGCACTGCCGCAACATCTTGCAGGAAACAGTGTCTGAGGGCATGTTCATTTAATAAAACTAAGAATGTTTTATATCCATGTAACGGGAAGAAACTCATCTAACTGATCATTTATATTTTATTTTCAAAAGAAAACCCACAATGCTAACACTGAGCCTCTGAATTAGCAACGAGCGAAAAATGCTAACACCTTACTGCACCGAAAATCACTCACAAAACCTTATTATTTATCTTTTCACCACATCCAATACATCGATTCACATCGTGAGGTGACACAGAATCTATTGACACCGACATTACCACTGAATTATACGTATTTGCGACGTTATAAGCAAAAACGGACATCAAAACAGGTGACGCTAGGTAGCTAAAAATGCTAACATTTTTACCTTGGCTCTGTAGTCTCTCCAAAGTGGTCTTCAATGGCATTAAAATGATAAAAACGCTGCTGAAGTTAATCCATAGGTTAATCTAATGTGTCTGTGTCCCTTTGAAATGATTTCTGATAATCCATAAGCATTAAAACTGCTTTTCCGTTTCCAGATGTCAAAGCTAGAGATAGGTTCACTCTGATTGAAAATTACATGCGCGAAGCCCCCACCTTTTCTCTTCACAACGTGTGTGTGTGGGGGACTCCCCCTTCGATTCTATTGGCTCTAACGGTCAGAAAGAGGTGTCAACCATCAAAATCGAGCAAGGGGGGCCAGAGATATGGAAAATCCACCCAAATGACCCCAGAAGTGGTTTCTTTTTGCTAAATCTCTCTAAAAAGGTCAAATGTCACTTGTTTTGCATCAATCTTGATACAGGGTACTTATTATATGTTGTACTTTGGATTCCTAAAGCTTTTAGTCTACTAACCCATCATCCAAGGGTGTTTTTCACTATCAGTAAAAAATAATTTTTGGACGGACACTATAAATTACAGTTTTTTACTATGTAAAATCTGAATTTTCTTTAAAATAAAAAACATCTATATTGATTCTGACTTTTCTACATCCAACTCACAGGTTTATCATTACTTTGAGAAAAAATATTATTAATTTAACCCTTTTAGAAGGGAAGATATGGTCATTTGTTCTGGGAATGTCATTTTCGAGCCTGAGACCTGAAAAACAGGCTCAGGGCTTAACAGGTTAAGCAGCATATCACACTCACAGGCAGACATACACACACCCAGGGGGGGAAATATAACAGATTTACCCAGGAATAAGTGTGCAAAACATGTGTACATTAGTGTTTAAAGTCGGGGGAACTGTTTTAATTCAGGACCAGGGTGAAAAAATAACAGATTTACCCAGGAATAAGTGTCTGAATCATGGGTACATTAGTGCTCAAACTCGATTATAATGTTTTAATTCCGGAGGTTTTAAGTGTGGTTTCACTCGTCTCACACACCCAGAGTGTTAACAACATTTTTACAAATTTTATAAATTAGTCTAGAGCTCCATCTATTGTAATTTGAGTGTATTACACGTCTGTCCATGGAACGCGAGTTTTGCGCCATTTGAGTGGAGTAAACTCATAGGCAGCTGGAGTAACATGTAAATTGAGACGCATTGGGACATATCATCATCACTTTCAATGTTAACCTTGTACATAGGAGGCACAATTCGCTTACCCAGAGGTCGATGGATCGAAACCATCCTCTGCTAATTGTGAATGCTTTGGATCAACAGATTCTCTCCGTCCATTTTAACCCTGTTCACAAGGCCATATTTACATAAGACGATGCATACGTTATCTCAAGTGCTAAAGTGTAGCCGATGCAAACGTTGCTGCGATGATCAACCTACAGTCCTCCAATCTTCCAACTGAGCTATGGAGGTGTGCATACAAGCTTTAATTGTTCAGCCTGTGTATTGATGCGGAAAGTAATCATCAAACAACAGTTGTCTTGCAAAGCTTCAACATTCACTCGTCTACTGACCTTGGCTAGGGAAATTGTCAAGATTTGGGAAGAGCCCTTTGAGTAACTCGAGGAGCCAAAACAACACATCTTGGGCCGCAGCCAGGTATAGGAGAGGTGTGGTCTGTTGAGCACAACATTGCCTCTCTGCTCATTTCAAAGGATATTGTTCTGTTTGTTTCAACCAACTATGACCTTGGCGCATACTGGTGCAGTTTGCAGTTGAAGGTGAAGCGGTAGAGAGATGAGCTAGGACAACAACCTGGTCCTTAACACCTCTAAAACCAAGGAGTTGACGATTGACTGCAGGAGAACAAAGAAGGAAGTCCATCATATGTGTGGAAAACTTCAAGTTTCCTGAAGTCAATATGTCAAAACATCTTACAAGGACCTCCAACACATCACACCGGGTTAAAAAGGCCCAGCAAAGACTCTACTTCCTCAAGAAACTAAAACAAGCCAGGCTCCCACGGAAACTTTGTGAAGAAACAAGGGGATGAGTGGTAACTTGCTCACTCTGCCCTTTACCTCCACACTACATTACATTACTGTTAAGAGGTAGATATTGAACCCTACTGGAGCTGTTTTCACTACTCTCCAGCTGCCAGCTGTCATACATTCCATGCATTCCTTTTCACAAGCTTCACATACAGATACAGCATTCCCTGGTGGTCTAGTGGCTAGGATTCGGCGCTCTCACCGCCGCGGCCCGGGTTCGATTCCCGGTCAGGGAACACTCTTTACTTACTGAATATCACGGCCCTTTCATTAAAAACAACTCCCACATAAAACTATACATTGTGCGGACATTGTGCGGACATTGTGCGGACATTGTGCCCACATACCGTGTGGTTCCATGGTGTAATGGTTAGCACTTTGGAATCTGAATCCAGCGATCCGAGTTCAAATCTCGGTGCAACCGTACTTTGAGTAGGCACGTGCTTACTCAACAGACAATCATCAGTGCCTCAGACACAATGAACATAAAAGGCAAAACTCCTGCAATTGTACTTTTTTAAGGGCCTCTATTGCCAAAAGTAAAGAAGAACGATTGGATCTGGTATGCGCTGCCTTTGTCAAGGTTGAAAATTGAAACGGCCGACAATGAGTACAGTACATTTTTGCCAGCCTTGGACTTCTAAACATCGAGCAGAGTGGCGCAGCGGAAGCGTGCTGGGCCCATAACCCAGAGGTTGATGGATCGAAACCATCCTCTGCTAATTGTAAATGCT